GAAAGGCCTGTACACTGAAAACTATTAAACAGTTATGAAAGAAATTAAAGATAACACAAGTAAAAGGAAAGATACAGTGTGCTCATGTATTGGAAGATTTAATATTGTTGAAATGGGCATCCTACCCAAAGCAATCTACAAATTCAGTGCAATTCCTATGAAGATACCAATAGTAGTTCCTATAGAACTAGAACAAAAAAATCTAAAATTCAAAAGACCCAAAGAGCCAAAGCAATATTGAGAAAGAACACCAAAGCTGGAGTTATCACTTTTCAGAGTTCAAACTACATTACAAAGTTACACTAACCAAATACAGTATTGTACTGGCACAAAAACTGACACATAGATCAATGGAACAGAATGGAGAGCCCAAAATAAACCTATGTCACATGCTTAGCATACGACTAGAGAGACAAAAATATGCAATGGGGAAAGGGCAGAACCTTTACTAAATGGTGTTGGGAAACTGACGGGTTACATGCAAAAGTATGAAATTGTACTATTTTCTAATTCCAAATAGAAAAATAAACTCTAAATGGATTAAAGACCTAAATGTAAGACCATAGAAGAAAAAGGCAGTAAACTCAGACATTGGCCTTTGCACTACTTTTCTGTCTCTCTGGCAAACAAAAGCAAAAATAAACAAGTGGGCTACATCAAGAACTAAAAAGCTTCTGCACAGCAAAGGAAACCAGTAAAATGAAAGGCAAACTACTGAATGAGAGAAGATATTTGCAAATGCTGTCTGATAAGGGGTTATTATCCATAATATATAAAGAACGCATTCATCTAAAAGCCAAGTAAATGGGCAGAGGATCTAAATAGATGTTTTTTTTCAAAGAAGACATGAGGGTGGCCAAAAGACACATGAAAAGATACTCAACATCACTAATCATCAGGAAAATACAAATCCAAACCACAATGAGACATCATCTCTCACTGGCTATTTGGAATGGCTATTATTAACAAGAAAAGAAATAACAAGTGTCAACGAGATTGTGGAAAAAACAGAACCCTTGTGCACTTGGTGGTAAGGTAAACGGGTATAGCCACTCTAGAAAATCATATGGAGATTTCTTAAAAAACTAAAAATAGAAGTGCCACATGACCTAGTAATTATACTTCTGGGTATTTATCCAAAGAAAATGAAAATACTATTTCAAAAAGATAAATGCACCCCTATGTTTACTGAAGTGTTATGTATAATAGCAAAGATATGGAAGAAACCTAAATATCCATAGATAGCTGAATGGATAAAGAAGACATGGTGTGTTTATGTGTGTGTGTGTGTGTGTGTGTGTGTGTGTGTGTGTGTGTATGAAATGGAATATTACTCAGCCATAAAGAGAATGAAATGCCATTTGGAACAACATGGGTGGACTAAAGGGTACTGTGCTAAGTGAAATAAGTCAGAAAGAGAACAAAAAATACCATGATTTCACTTGTATGTAGAATCCTAAAAACAAAACAAATGAACAAACAAACCAGAAAGAGACTTATAAATACAGAGAACAATCTGATGGTTGCCAGAGGGCAGGGAGGTGGGGGATAGGTGAAATAGATGAAGGGGATTAAGAGGTATAAAACTTCTAGTTATAAAAAAAAGTCATGGGGATGAAGATATAGCATAAGGAGTACAGTCAATAATATTATAATAACATTATATGGTTACAGTTGGTACTATACTTATCATGATGAGCACAGAATATTGGATGTCATAATACTGCACATAATATTGCATGAATTATACTTCAATTAAAAAAATTATGTGGGACAGCAATGCTTCCAGAATATAATTCCTACTTGCCCAATTCAGAAATCTATGACCTACATCTTTCTCAATTCCTTCTCTTTGGAGGATCTCCATTGATTATCCTTTCTCTGTTTTGTATGTCAAAGCTTTCCCTATCTATGTATCCCTTCACTAATTTATAATATATAATAATGAATTAGTTTTTCTATCTTAAAAAGACCAGTATGTATACACACAAATACCAGCGTAGGTATACATACCAGTGTGTATAAGCTACACACCTTGACCCAGAGTTGACTTGTTTTCCAGTATATTTTAGAAAAAACACAGCTTATACTTGAGATTTCTACTTCTTCTCCCAATTATTTCTCAACCATCATTGGCACTGACACCACAGAACTCTGTATAAGGGAGCACATGCCAAAGTTACATAACATGGTCACTTGTTCCTGGAGATACAACGGACAGACGGGGTGGTCATTTAAAATAGATATAAATATGTGTGGATATAGCAGTGTGTATGTAGATATGTATATACGTATAAGTGTGTGTATCACAGAACTTTAATACAACCACTGAAATTAGGATTCTCAGAAATAACAAATTATTTAATTTCAAGAACATCTTAATTTCTATTAGATAAAAAAATTTAAGAAATCACAGAAACTAAGCACTAACTAATTTCAAAGTTGCTTTGGCATTAACAAAGGGTGTATGCCCTTAAGTAAAGTGCGTGTCCGTAAAGCTCAGTGGTCAGTATGGTAACAGACAAACAAAGATGGCTGAATAAGACTAGATTCACCAGTTCTGCTAAAGTGAATGTGATATGAATCATTTATGACATAGTTTAGAAAGTTACAGAATGCCTTGGTTTACAAAGTTGAGTTCCTCTGATAAGTGAAGGGGATGAGAAGCAGTGCTTCAAGATAATATTTAGATTAGACATTTTTAGGATGTATACATAAAAAAATGGAAAATCACTTCTTTTATATGTTTATATTATTAAGAATTATGTACTGCTTGAAATCAAGATATATCTAGGTACAAATTCTAACAAGAAATGTGAAATTTACTGCCATACTTATTTAAAAAACTATTCCTTTATGAATAAAAATATCCAGAGGTGAACAAGATTCCTGGTGGTTGGTTTGGATGATATAAGAATAAAAGAAAATATAATTTAATTAAACTTATTTCCATGAAAAAATTATATAAGTAATGGGTCTTGTAAATATGCTTAAAATTAGGACTAAGTATAAGATGCTAAAATAAAATGTCTCTTCCAAATTATTATAAGATTAATGAGTAGAATTTTGAGATACAGTGGAATTTTGAGTTAAATTTGTTTTGAGTTGTTGAAAACATGGTAATGTTAGATTATTTAGAATATTTTAATAAGCTGAATATTCCTTGTCCCAAGGTATGTTTTATAATTACGAATTTGTCCTGTAACACAAATCATGCTTCCAACTTTTGTTAGTCTCAATTTATTTATTGTTCTGTATTAAGAACTATCTCTGAATGTGAGTTCTCTGATGAATGACTAAAGTTCGAAATTAAACAAGACACAGGCCCAGTCTTGAAGGACCCTGTAATCCAGAGGGAGACAGAGGAGAGATCCCATGGGCAGAGCACAGTGAGGGACGTGTAGGACTCTACAATGATTGGAGCACAAACATCCACGTAAGCCTGAAGCGGAAGGGAGTGTCAGGCCCATCCTCCAGGTGGTGATGATTATGGCTCTGAACTTTGCACAATGAGTAGAAGTCACTAAGTACGGTAACTAATGCACACTGTATCTTAGATTAATGCATCGGCATCTTCCCATTACTTTTAATTCTGATGATTTCTTTGTAGGAAATATTCACAAAATCAAATTATCACTTCAGAGTATTTACAGTTAACAGTTCTGTCCATTTATCAGTGTTTCCAAAGGAATGGCTTCTCTATGCCATAAAAGTCACCAGATGCTCAGAAAAAGAACCCAACTTAACCCTGGCATTACAGCTGTGTCACAGGACATACAACACATGCAGTGTTCAGAGTTGAGTATTAAAAAGATTTATGATGAATTTGAAATTATATGTGTGTGTATGTTTTCAATCTGTCAATCACATGCAAATCACATATAGGCTGGAAAGCACCTTAGGGTGTTTCAAATTGTTCCCCAAATTTTCATCAACACTGATTTTCCGGCAAAACTACCTAAACACATTAATTAATTTTTTTCCCTTTCTTTTAATCCTCAAATGCATATGAAACATCTATTAGAGCTAATGATAGGCCACACATCTCTAAAAGGTGAAAATTCCAAAAGACAGTGAATTGACTTTTTAGTCTGAAGAGTCTTATGGATCAATGTATAATTTCTGTTAAACTTCTTGAAAAACAAGAAGTAAGATATTTTTCATTACTTTTTTTGTGGATCTTCAGCATTTTAAGAGACCAAGTTGGGAATCACTGTTCTTTTAATTGATGTGGAATTGGTGAGAAAACTGAAATAGGCTGATGTAGGATTGCTAGGAAAAATAGTTACAGTTTATACTCTCCACATATCAGCAGGTTCATATACATGAGGTGAACCTTCAAAACAGACAGGTGTCTCTGCAGCATTCCTCTGCAGTAAAACAATAACTGAAACAACATACAACCTCAAGATACTCACCTTCACATTTTTCATTATTTATTGAAATAGCATGCTTTTACCATGCTACAACTATAAAAGAATTTGTCTAAAATATTTTCCTGAGAAGAACTAGTTTTCAAATAAGAACAGTTTTGCTGTTATAAATTGTTTTATTTGAAAAATCTACAAAATAATGTCTGTGGAGACAATTCTTTTGAATATACAGGCAATGTTAGTATTACTACAAGCTTTAATAACTAAATGATATCATAAATTTATCCTAGAAAATTTCAAACTGTTCCTATTTTCCATTCTTTTCTGGTTACTTTCTTCCCATAACATTTTCTTATATAGAATGTTTGTATAAGAATCAAATAGAATTCCTTAGGTTCAAATTAGTTTATTAATACATTAGTGATAAGGTACTCATGTATCTCAAAAAATATTATATTTAATGATTCTCCAATTCAGCCATTGGTTTATATTCATGAACTGTATGATTTTATAATCAGCAGACTAGTGTGTTTAAGAATTTCTCCCCTCACTACACCTCCCCCACTATCTCTTTAAAAAAACACCTGAATTGATATTAAAATCAAAATACTATAAAGGTGCACTTACTTTTTTGTCTTTGTTATATTTTGCAAATATCTCCTGTGCTCTCTCTTCTCCTCCATCCGTGAACAACATGATAATCTTATTGCAGTTGGCTCTGGAAACATTATACTGTTAAGAAAAAAAAAAGTGTAGTCATGCATAATAAAATGTAAGGAATATAAAATGAGGTGGAAAGAGCAGAAACAAGTTGCAGGTAATAAGTGAAATATCTGTTCAGTAAGTATATTCTAAGAAATGTTTCTTGGATCAGGCCTGGCCCACCCCTACACAGGCCTCCCCTCTCACATCTCCTCAGACATCCTCCAGGTCTTTGATTAAATGTCACCTAATCAGTGAGGACTTCCCTGAAAACTGTTTTAAATTGTAATCTCCCTCCAATTTTACACTCATATATATTATATTTTGTTTAATTGTTGGCTTCCTCTGATTGAACGTAAGTGCCATAAAAGCATGAAGCTTCCTTTCTTGTTCAGTGTTGCTTCCTTGTCTACAATGCTTAGCATATAACAACCACTCATTTAAAATTAATTACTGGTTAGTATGTCAATTTTATGCCCTTATAATTTATACCAGAAACAAAGAAATAACACTAATAAAAATGTGCATATCCTTTCACATACATTTTCAATCTGAATACATTTTCCCACTCTTTCCTCATTCTTAATCCTACTTTATTCCCTTTACACTGCTGAAGCTGTAAACTCATAGCTCATCCCTAACACCCAATGCCCTTTCATATCTTTGTAAATGCCAGAGCCTAATCCCAGATTATTCTCCTGTCCTCTTGCACCTGCCACACATGTTGTAATCCTCAAAGGCTCAATTTCAATGGTTTAAATCCTCTCCAACTTTCTTTGTGGTCCCCAAAGAGTCAGACATAGAACAATGGATTAGCAGCAAAGGGCCACTAAAATGAACAACTAATTTAGAAAGTTGGACTTCTTTGAGGTCTGAAATGCTAACCTCAGACTTTCTAATGTTGTGAACTGCTTGTCAAAGTCTGAGGACATAAAAACACACTCGTTTATGAACACTCAGCTTCTCTGACAGTGTCAACCCTCCAGCTCAGTGCTGCTCAATGGAGATAATTCATGTGAGCCTAATTTGTAATTTTAACTTTTAATAGCCACATGAAGAAGTAAAACAAATAATTGAAATTAATTCTAATAGTAGTTTTTTAACTCAGTCATCCAAAGTATTATCAATTCAACATGAAATCAATACAGAATTATTGAGATAATATACATTTTTTGTTTCATAGTAAGTCTTCAAATTTCAGTGTGTACTTTATACTTACAACACCTTTCAATTCAGATGAGGCACCTTTCAGATGTTCAATAGCCACATGCAATCATAGTTGTGTGTGGACAGCATGACCTTGGGCTTTAAATAACTAACAGACATTTTGTAATCATTAATTTTCCTATAGTGTTTTAGCTTACTGAAGGTCCATGCTCTTATTTTTCAAGAAGGTAAACTCCATTTCCTATTGTAAAAGTTTTCATACACAACATTTTGCTCTACTGATGAAAGATCCTGTTTCACATCAACTCACCCCATTGACTAGGCCATCAGCACATTTACAGTTAAAGCTCCTAACCAAGCACTGTGAAAACACAAGTGCCCACTGTTACAATTTGCCACATTCAAGCATGTTTCTTATCTTGGAAGAAAACCACTTAACATTCAACTATTCAAAAGGCTACATATTTTACCATCAAAATGCTTTGATGGAAGGCATTGAAAGTCCTTAACTAAAATTAATTTATCTGATGATTTGTCTTTTATATCTGCATACATAAAATGGGCAAAATAGTATGTGCCAAAAGGACTGTTTCATAAAATAAAGTAAGGAAGGTTTTCAGACCAGGATCATTTTGGAAGTAGTGGAGGAATCATCATTACTGAATGCCAAATATCAATGTCAGTTAGCACACTGGGTCTGGCTGATCAGATGTCTGTTGTGTAAATAAAATAATGATGCCCTTTTCCAGGAAAGAGAATTATTAGGACTCACCCAAAAGGGGAAATAAAGAAATGCTTTGTTTTCAGCATTATTTTTCCTAGGAGTAGCCCTCTCAGGACCTGTGGTGCAGCAAGGTGGATCATACCAACTTTTTAGGGGATTTGCAATTATCTAAAGAATGACACAATTACATGCTACTGGCTTGTAATAAACTAAGTAAAAAGAATGAGACTATTTCAGTAGGATTACAATGAACAGATTTGGTAATTAACCTTATAGCATACCTGTTGTATCCCCACATGCCCAGTATATAGGGTGGCATCTATCATATATGCATTCAATAAAATGTTTTTAAAAAATGCATCTTAAAGTATTTATAGTGTTTTCTGGAATGCTATCTGAAAACCTCTTCAAATTTTAATTTAAGATGTATGCTGGGATAAATGTTATGCTTCATTCTATTTGATACTAGCTACAGTGATCTTAGAGGTAAGCCTTGCAAGGAAAAACAAAAACCAAAAGATGACCCTGTGTGACACGAAGACTAGTAGTGCATGAAAGAGAAAATGCACTTCAACTCTGAATAAGGCAAGTCATTGTATTTGGGAAAATTATTTTAAAATGAAGACCTGCAATATGCAAGGGATGTGTAGAAAGCAGGACACATGGGACTTATTTCAGGAATCCCTGAGAACATATTAAAAATCACTTACAACTATGGTAAAAGCAGTATAAAAGACCAATTGGAGTTAAATAGTATTTTATCTGCAACTAGTCATGAATGGGAGTTGATGTGGCCTCTCTAGTGACTGGTCTCTGAAGTAGGACATTAGGCTTGAGACCCTTTATCATTTCACAGGTGAAGCCTGAATAGGAGGGAAGGAAGTGGGGCAAATTAACAACGCCAAGTGGAATACCTAACATGCCAAGATCTAGAAAACTTGATTGACTCAAAAGAATTTTTAATATAAAAAAAACTACTATAGAAAGAATATATGTCAATCGTAGAGTCAGTTACATTTGAATTTCAAAGTTTTGAGTTTTCATTTTTCTAAATTAATGAACATACACCATTTCACAAACATACCCATTTTACCAAAGATAACTTCTCTGGAAACTGTAATGTTGAACTTTGCTTTTCTGTCTCCTCAGACTTGTTCACTTAACAGTATCTAACAATTTCGCCTCCTCAAACTCAGCATATCTGAAACTGAGCTATTTCTACCCTCACACTCCCTCTGGCTATATTTCTGTGCCACCATCCACCTGGTATTATTCCAGGTCGGAGGACCACCCAATCAGATACCATGTCACTTTCCTTAACATCTACTCACTTCTACTCCAACACAGGACTTCTACAGTGTCATTCTCGTACTATAAACTCTTCTTTTGCTCCTAAACTGCTCATTAACCGATACCTCATGGATTTTCCATTTCCACCACTGCTCCTATATTGCTCTGTACCAGCCATGCCAAGTCATGGGCAATGGGACAAGCTGTCTCGTACTTCTGTGTCTCTGTCTGTGTTCTTTTTACCTGACTTGACTTTCCCTCTCTTATCTACCTACCTAGAATCTACTCATTCTTCAAAATACTGTTTTCAAGAATGCCACACTTTTCCAACTTCCTTTGGGTTAGTCGAGCCCCTCCTCAGCACGGCACCTGTAAACACACCCTGAATGCCCTGGAATGGCCTTAACACACTGAACAAGGAAAGACTGAGTGTATTGTATGTACTAGGCCTTCCAGAGGGCAGATGGTCTAACTTCCGCTATCCCAGCACTAGCATTACGACACTCAACTGTGAGGTACTGAATAAATACTGACTGAATGAACAAATGTGAATCAGCCCATCAGATATCTCGAAAACTGCTTAGACAATGCACTCAAGGAACAAATCACATTTGCAGAAAAGACCACATGCAAGGGCTTACTCAGTGACTCAACAAATGTGGTAACAATTATGAGCTAACTTTGTATTGGACATGCACTAGTCATAATTGTATCAAAAATGGTAAGTCCAACACTAACCCAACAACCTACACCCATGTGAAGCTTGCTATGTGTCAGGTTTTGTGGACAGTCTTGTCCAAAATCCTCTGATACACATGCTATAGTGATTTCATTGTGTAAGTGAGCAAATCAAGGTACAGAGAGATTAGGCTCATGCTGTAAGCCGTTCCGGTAGTATTACCTCATGAGTGATAAAAAAACTGGACGATAGCTCCTGCTTTCAAATAGTTCAAAATCTATCAGATGACATGGCATATTGACAAAACTAGTCCATAGTGTAAGAGTCATGCTCCGTCCTACAGGGCAGGCAGCAGGCATGCCGGGATCTGGTGGTCTACCTGCAGACATGGCTGGGTGATCTGTGCATAGGGCTCTCCAGTGACAATTTGATGACTGGAAGTGCAAGTTTCCAGACAGAAACAGGAGTAATTGAGATAAGAAGAAAGAAATGATAGTCTAAATATGCCAACTAAGTTTAAAGAATTGCCTTTCAAATGTGTTTTTTAAACATAGTTTGGAAAAAATGAGGGAAGAAAAGTCTAGTAGAAGAAAGCCATACTTAGTACACTTTTTGAGTTTTGGATTAAAAAAATAGTTTAAGGAGTTCTGCTGTCTGGACACATCTGCTTTCTAAATAAATGATTTATTTAGCGCAATTATTTAACCTAGATAGCAGTAACTGATAAGAATACTCAAATTCAGATAATTCAGTACTATAAGAGAAAAGAGGCTAATATTGATACTTACATTAAGCAGCTGTTCGAAAGCAAAACTAAAGCCCTTCTTATAGTCTGTGATTCCTTTTGCGGAGATATTATTCACTGCGTCTTTCAGCACTTTCTTATTTCTTACATTTGCTTGGACTAGGTGCCGAAAACAGCTTACATCCTGGGCATTGCTGTTAAACTGCAAAAGATTAGAAAGTAAATATATAAATGACCACTAAAATCAATTGTGTAATTTTGATGGAATTTGTGTCTTATACTTCCCAATCCTGTCGCATGGTTTTGTCTTTCAAAAAGAAAAGGAACAGACCAAGGGGCGCTAAGGATCAAACAGTGATTGTCATCCAGCACCCCCGCTCAGACTGCAACCCTGAACCTGTCATTCATCCTCCTGAAGCTTGTTTTCCCTCATTATAAATTTGGGATCTGAATAATGTGAGATCCCTTACAGCTCTCAAGTCTTGCAAGCGTTTAGACAAAACCAAACAATAAACTATATTCAGAATCCAGAGATGATACGCTGACACTCATGCAGGACACAGGGATAAACTAAGTACCTTACTTGCCTCTCGTGTGGAAAAGGCAAGGGGAAAAGCAGTACACCGAATGACAGGAGCAGAGTGTGTGACTGATGGTAGAACCTTTCTCTGGTGGTTAAACCGGAAGCAATCTGAAAGAACCAGGAACAACTGGTGGCCATTAGGAACTGTCCCTGTTGAGGTCATACACAGAATGCATGGCACCGTGGAGGCACGGCACAGGGCAAGCTGAGCACTGCAGACCGTCACTGCTCTGAGTGAGGAGGCCCTGAATAAAGAGACTGTAGGAAGAGGGAACATAAACTCCAACAACACCCGCCCACCACTGAAAATTTAAGAATGATCAGGAAAGTATTTCAGCAACACTTTCAAGAACTCACATAGTTCAGGGGGTATTTCCAAAATGGTAAGATCAGGATCACTGCAGTAAGATCCAGGACACTAAGAGGAGTAGAGTCATCCTATCATTTCTTAACCTAGCTGTCTGTATAGTCACTTAAGCTCCTGGGATCTGTACTGTTACATATGCATAATGCAAATAATAATAAAAAGATAATACCTGCTAGAGGGTGGGAGAGGGGGGTGACCAGATGAAATGTTATTCTCAGATCAAAAACATATAATTATATGATTTTACTAGGTAGATCACAAGCCAAAATATAAATTTTGTGATAATGTATTCTTATAAATATAACACATCCTTTTTTTTCTCTGAAAATCACTGAAGCTTAGTTATAAGGTTAAGTTCCACATTTCATGAGTCCATTAAGCAAAACATTTGCTAAGTAACCTCTTAACCTGTTATATCATTAATTGTGGCATGTGATAGTTTTGTGCTCTTAGACATCATTTAGACAAGTAAATGATGTGCACATGCATGTATGTATGCATGCAAGCACTTAGATGGGGTTCACTATGGGCTACATTACTATGTACTCCACAAATATTAATCATTTCCTCTTTGCAAATGCCCTAAAAGTATTATTATTATCCATAAAGAAACGTAAGGGTAGAGAGGTTAAATAACTTGTCCACAATAACATAGTAAATAAGCCACAGAGAGTCAGGACTCAGATTAGCACCGTGGCAGAGAATCTGGATGTCAACTGCACTGCCTCTCAGTGTTACAATAAATAATTATTAGTTCCAAAAAGAAACGTAACATTATGCTTCAGGAGACATCACAAGGAGAGTATGTTCGGATTTGGACTGTGAGCAGTTGGGGAACAATTCCCCTGAGAAACGGCATTTCCTGTGATTTCAGAGAAATGTTGCATTGGCAATTATGGAGGAAGAACATTCCAGGCAAACAGAGCAACATATAAAAAAGCCCTGATGTGGAGGAAAAAACAAATAAAAGTCTTTTTAGGGAAACTTGGAGAAACACAGTTTATAGCTCAGTTGCATATGAAGAAAAATGACATTAAATGAGGTCGGGGTGGGGGGACGCAGGGGCTACATCATGCAGCATCTAATGGAAATGCTCAATTGGGATTTTATTCTATGCCAAATGGAAAGCCACAGGAATATTTTAAGCCAGATACAAAATAATTTAGTCTAGAATTCTGAGAGATCACCCTAGCTGCTGTTTGGGAAATGGATTTAAGGTGAGCATCATTTAAGGAGGGACAATAACCAGAATGCTATTGCAGTAACTTTGCTGAACACAGAAAGTGGCTGTGTTATTTGTGGAGAATGGTCAAAAAAGTAGGGGTTCAAGATCTATTCTGGAAGAAGAATCAACAGAATGTGGTAGTGGGCTGGGGATGCAGTTGAGTAAGAGAGTGTTTATTTTGAATACCTGCCAGGTTTCCAGGTTTCTGACATGGGCATCTGGATGGCCGGAGGACTGGGAGACTGAGACGTTCAGTGATACTTGGGGAACCAGGAAGAGAAGCAGAGTTTAAGTGAGGGAATGTTTTCAATGTATGTGAGATATGCAAATGAGATGTCCAGAAATCATAATATTTACAGCATAAGGCTCAAAAGAAGTCTTGATTAAAGGAAAAGAAAAAGAAGGGAATAAACCTTTAAGAAAATGGGTGTCGACTCCATTGCTCCCGGGAAGAAGAGTGGGGGCTGAGGACAGATTCTGGGTGTTGTGTAGGTCGGTGCTGAAAGGTGACTGTTGCTGTGAACCATGAGGTGGGGGGTTCAGGATGGAGTAAAAGAGGAGGCAGAAGGTACTGCAGGGAGTGGAGGTGAAACAGGAATCACAATGTCTCGCACAGAAAAATACTGAAATTCTTCCTCAGTTTGAACACTACTTTCAAGTGTATCACATATATAAGAACAAAGCTCCAAAATATTTCTTTACTGTTTTCTAGAAATTGAAATGTTCAAAATGTACTATCTTCAGACCCAAATCCCACTGCCTCTTTTTTCCCATTCTATAATAATTTGATGCAATCTTTTTCTACACATTCCATTTCAGAAACAAAATAGATGAATTCCCATATTAGAAAGTTAAAAATATATACACAGTTTGTCAATCCAGTAATAGTAAAACATCTGACTTTAGAGACTTATTAGAAATGGTTACAGGAAATGACTCTATTTCCCTTAGTACGCTGATAGAAGTGACTGCAATGGGGTGCAGAAGGGACTTGATAATATGGGTGAATGTTGAAACCACAATGTTGCTCATGTGAAACCTTCATAAGATTGTGTATCAATGACATCTTAATTAAAAAAAAAAGAATCACACAGACACAAAAAGAAATGGTTATAGGAAATATTATTGACTGATTTAGTCACAACATGAATCATGATAAAATTACAAGTTAAACATAAAATGAGCACTGAAAAATGTACTGCCCTGAGTCTTTTGGTTGGCTTTTTAACACAGACCTGCTTTTAACATAGAAAAGTGAAGCATCTCATTAACTCACTCTAACACAAACTGATTAAATGTACATACAATCCATTAAATATAATTCAGTAGTGTATAACAGAAATACTACAATTATTCTCATAATAAAACTCATAAATAATGCAGGGAAGGGAATAGTTTTCAAAGCCTAGTCCCTCTAGCAAATCTTGTTCTCCTAGGAAAGAGATGAGAAATTTTAAAAGTTCTAAATTAGGTCTGAGTATGTACTTCACAGACATTTTAGACTCATCAGCTTTTTTGGAAAAAAAAAGTTTATTTTCATGAACTGAAATTGTGGTTTTTGGTTACAAGTGCCCAGATTTCAATTTTGAAACCATATATTAAATAGGTAAACCACATACATATTACAAACCTTAGGCAAAAAATTACAGAGCTTTGAAATAGTATATGGTGAGTGAAAATAGATTTAAAGAGCTCTGCTCTTATTGCCTATTAAGAAAATACTTCTTTAGAAATGTGTATTTAACTCACTCTACAGAGTCAGAAATCCAAACTAACATCACTCTGAATCCTTTCCCCAACTCAGAAAATTCAACCCAGTAGATCCCTTATCAGAACTGCTGAGAACAACCTCTGCTAGCATGCTGACACAGGAAGGCATGTGGGCTAACAAGAGGCACTAATATAGCTAAATATATTTCTACCCCAGCATCTGGATACTCTTTCATTTTTGCCTTCCACATATCCTGTTTCTTCTGCCTCTAACACTTTTTTTCCCCTATCTTCTTCACTTGGTTGTCTCACTTACCTCAACATGCTTTCCTTATAAATGGCTTTCATGACCTTCCCAGATTAGGTCAAACCACCCGTCCTGTTATATAAGCTCTCCTAGGCCTGGATAAATCTCTCTTTTTATACAGCACACCAACTTATAATTTCATTATTTTTTTGTATGTGATATCTTGATAGACTCTTTCATTGGATTAGAAGCCCATGTGGTCACAGAAAATGGCCATCCCACCATGGCAAGCTCTGTACTTGGCACATAGTAGGTGTGCTATAAAGATTTACTGAGTGAATGTGTGAAGTTTAAGAAAATTAGGAGACAGTGCAAATTGCTGATCAATAATCAAGCTATAAATTTAAAAGTGTAGGAATTGTATTTTAGTCAACTATCTTGTTAAACTTGGACATTTATAAATATAAATATTTTGTCCAAATAGATGCTATTAAAATAGTTAAATGAAGAGGTATGTAGAACACCTGGCACAGAGTCTGGTACAAAATGTTTAATCAACTCTACCATTTAAAAAATTATTTTAGGAAAAACATTAGTATACTCAGTACTGGAATCAGAATGGATTCCTAGATTCATAAGAATGATTAAGATAAACAGTATCTGCTTTAGTGAGCTTTAAAGTTCACTAACAGGATGATACAAGGGCCCTTCAAACATTAGTTTAGTGTTTGAAACAGTCTTGAGATAACCGTGAACAGTACACTTCACTATTTGAAAGAACCTTCCCATTAAATACCAGCCAACTACTCACATCAAATTAAAAGACACCTTAGGGCTAAAACATATTGCAATCTCTCAAATGAAGTAACTTAAAACTCTTGGTTTTGTAAAGGCAATACTTATTTTCATTTTGATGGCTTCTGCTGGATTTAAGAAATCACTCCACAAAATATTTCTAAAAGACAGAGCTCTGCCGCTCATCAGATTAACCTGGGATACAAACAATGTAATGCTAGCAATGCCTTGATAAGCACCGTAAATCAAGGAAGCATAAGGTTCTGCAAAGCGCC